CCAAAAAAAAAAAAAAAAAAAAATCACAGTAATTTTAGAATTTCCTAGTTATTTTTTAAATATAATACTACCAAAATACTATTCAAAACTAATAGTAATAGTATTTTTAAGATTAAAATATTTTTAAGTTTAAGGACATTTTTATTAATTTAACATATTTTTTTATTACATTATATTTTATATTTAATTACATCTCGATCCATTTTTTTTTATCTTTTTTATCAACGCGGAAAAACTTCTTATTCTGTTTGACTAATTAATAAACCTATCAAACTTTTTATAATAGTAAAGTACATTTTATATTATTATTACGTAACAAATAAATTATTTTATAAATAATTGACATAATATATGCTATCATCATTCGGTTGACTTTAAATTCTCTTGACATAATAATGAATTATAGTCTACAGTCGATCAGAATTAAAAACTCAAAATATTTAGTCTAATAGCCGGATTTTGTTCGAATATGAATCAATTAAATAATTATCGACATCAACTGAATATAGAAAAGAAGCATCACCAATTTAAAATTTTTAAGTATCGAAGTTTTTTTTATATTTGAGACGTCGATATTTTTATGGATCGAATCTTTATAAAAAAAAAAAGGGTTGTTTCGAGACTTGGTCCTAAAGAAAAGCTTTTTGTTTTATTTGAGTCATCATATATAAAGACTTACCCCTTAAGAAATAGGCGTATGAGGTAAACCATGGCGTGAAGCTTAGAGTTATTAAAGGCTTCCCTTTTATGAGCCACAAGGCTTCTTTGTTGGACCATTCGGTCCATCCAACAAAATGGGACTTTTATTCAAAATATGTAAAATACGATTTTTTTTAATTTAATTAAAATATTTAAATTTTTAACCCTTCTTCAAAAATAAAAATTACTATTTTCTTTTTCAATTTTTAAAATATAAGTACATAATAAAACAATAATAATAATAAAAAGGGCATGAGAGGCATGAGAGGATGGTGGTGTGGTAGGAGAAAAAGGTGGGATGGTGGGAGCTGTGTCAATCATGATGTCTGTTGGGCTGGGAAGCTAGCGAAAATTAACATGTCACTGTTTCAATTTTAAACATGTCTGATAGGAAGAGATTTTAAGATAAGATGAGATCTCACAATTCTCCTCTTTTATATGTAGTATTTTTGTTGTGATAAGCGCCAACATGCTGGATTTTGCAAAGTCAGAGATCTTCTTAGTATCATTGTAAACTTTCACAAATGATTCCAACCAAGAGCGGGTTAGAAGGATGAATAACTTTTAGATTGAACTTGAAATCTATGATGGTCACTCTTAGATACCAAAACGATTCCAAACACAAGTTTTTATATTCTACCATCATGATTTCAAAATTGAATATTATCTACCTTTAAATAGGACAGACAGATAATTCTAGTTCAACTACAAAGTACCAATGGTACAAAATAAGACAAAATAAATAATTTTAAATGTAGTTCAACTATACTCGGGATATTTTAAATCACTTTTGAATATCAAGGGATATTTATTGTAACTCTATTTTTTTAATTTAACATTTAAATATTCTTTGCATTGCTTCTTGTAATTGCAACTTTGGATATTTGCAATTGATGAGTGGTTGGATTCATATCACATTGGCAAACCACCCGGTGTCTAGTTATAAAATACCATCTATAACAGCTCAAACCTACCACTAATAGATATTATTTATTTTGGTCTGTTACGTATCATTATTAGTCTCACAGCTTTAAAACGTGTATGCTAAGGAGAAATTTTCACACCCTTATAAGAAATGCTTCGTTACCTCTCTCTAACTCGACGTGTGATTTTACAAAAGTAATATCATTCACTTTAGAATTTGAATTTTGTTTTCTCTCTTCCATTATTGCCTACCGAACACCTTATACAAGAACAACATAAAAAATTAAAAAAAATAAAATAAAAGAGACATTTTTGTTTTATTACGTGGAAAAGGAATAAGAGATGATTGAAATAGAATGGAATAAAATTAAAACATTAGCTTATAATTTATAATTTATATTAAATGTAACGCATATGATTTTTTATTGGAAATTTGGAATGAAAATGAAATGATTGGCCAATCAAATCCCAAAGTTTTTTTTTAAAATTATTTATTTTTGAAATTTGAGGATAATAATATATATTTAAAAGTTACTTTTCAATTAATGTGTTTTAATATCTTTTAAATAAAAAAAAATATTACGAAATATAATAGTTTTTAAAAATTAGATGACACGATATTTACAAATTTAAATTTTTGCCGACTCTTTAAAATAATTTTTTAAAAATTTAAAAAACTTAATTAAAATTATTTATTTATTTTTGCATTTGAGAGGTTGGGACAGTACAATTAATTAAAATAAAGCAGAAATATATTGACTTTCTGGTTGTGGGCCTTTAAAGTTATTAGGACAAACGGGACATGCCACGACCATAAACATGCCCTTGATGCATCCCATGTCGGCTTGCTATCCATCAAATAGGACCAACTTAATTATTTGAACTCTTCGTTGTAGACGTCATTTTTACGAACTTGTAAACCAAATCGATGATCACAAAGGAATTATTAGTGCTAGATATGTTAATATGAGCATAATTTAGCTACTCGTAACCGCCTAAATTCACTATTAGTAGGTATTATTACTTTTGTTCATTACATATTACCATCGGCTCATGGTTTTAAAACGCGTCTATTAGAAAGAGGTTTTCTCTTCAACCGATGTGGGATCCCACACTATTGGTTGTGTTAACACGAACAACTCAGTAATTAATATGTAGTTTCGTTAGCGTCAAATGTTCAAATTTTTGTACTCTAAGTTTGTTGTACTAGAAATTAGATTAATCAGGAGGGGTTACGAACATGCCTAAAAATCTAATGACACGTACAAGAGTTAGTGATTTAAATAGAGTAGTTAGTCAAAGAAGTCGACAAAAATTTAAATTTGAATAAATATAAATATTTAAATATATATTTGAAAATGTTACGAGACAATAATTAAAATATTTGCACATTTAAATGGAAAACATTTTTATTTATATAAAAAAATATTTTAAATTGTAGAATAAAATATTAAAATGATTATAATTGAGAACGTTTTATGGCAATTGAGGAAATGTTTGAGAGTAATTTTAAAATGATTAAATTGATTTTTTTTTTTTTTAAGGAAATTAGGAAATAATAATAAAAAGGACAAAAATTAAATGGGCCGGCCCAAAAATGGCTTGGGTTTCCAAATCTCATTCGATCTAACAGATCATCGATATGCAAGGTTCGTTCCGGCTACTGGAAGTCTTCACCGTAACTGTTCCGTTCGTGTTTCAAGTCCAGTACGATATTTTACTTCACTAGTGTAGCAATTCAATCTTCAGTTTCTGCAACTAGAAATGAATTTCTTAGTTATGTCTGATTGCTTACTACCTTTTACTTGGAATTTTCTTGTTCGCTTTTATTTTCATGTTTTTTCTTGAAATTTTCAGTTTCTGCAACTGGAGTTGAACAAGGAGATGCTGTTAGTGTGCATTATGATCCTATGATTGCCAAGTCTGTTGTTTGGGGAGAAAATCATGTTGTTTGAGGTAAATTTAGTCAGAATTTGTTTGCGTTGCGGAATTTAATGTTCAACATGATTTTCTTTTTGAACAAGAAACAAAAAAATTTCATTGAAAATAAGAACAATTTTGGTAGACTTGGTTGCTTCAATGGCTACTGCAGTTATTTTATAGCAGCTATTGGTCAAGTTGTCTAAGGATTCAATATCACGCTGCTTGTAGGTTTATGTTCAAGAGGTTTCTGAATTTGGCTTAGCTTTTTTAATCGACAGTCTGCTTAAATTGTGTAAACATTTTGTCGCTAATTTTCAACCCTTCAAAAATTCAAATTCATCCAGAATCATTGAGGCCATTTCTCTTACATAAGGTTTCAGGTGTCCCAACCAACCCCCAACCACACCGCTAGTAGATATTTGTCCTCTTGGATGTTCTTTTTTGGGCTTTTCTTCAAGATTTTTAAAACACACTAGAGAGAGGTTTCCACACCCTTATAAAGAATGTTTCGTTCCTCTCTCCAATGGATATGGGATCTCACAATCTACCTCATTGGTCAGCATTCTCTCTGGCACTCGTTCCTCTCTCTAATTGATGTGGGATCTCACATAAACTTTCTATTAAAACTTGCAAATCATTATGGATTTGAACGTGGGGACGTGGAAACTCATTTTATTGAGCGCTATAAAGATGACCTCTTTGTCGATCCTTATGATCTTTTGATGGCAAAAGAAGGATATGAAGCTGCTGGACTTAATGCCCGTCTAGCTGCTGCTTGTATCGTCAGCTTGGAACATTCTAAACTCACTGAAAATTCTTCTGGTATTGCAAGCTCTTATCTATTTCTCTGACCTTAATTGTTTTAGAAAGCAGTTCTTAAATTGAAAATTCTATATCTTATCAGGGAATGATTTATATTCAGTATAGAGTCCTCATTGTGCTAGGCGCACAATGGAGGTTGAGTGGGAGAATCAATATGATAGCAGTGTCTCCAAGCCGTTTGCACTTACAAAATCACCTACCAGCAAGATGGGGCCTTTTTAATTGAGGTATTGTACTCCTTTTAGAGGTACACTCAATTAGCCATTTAATTGAAGTCTTGGTTTTTGGTTTTTGGTTTTCTTATTTGAATAAGATCCCCTGTATTTATCTTCTCCTTTACAAAGATCCAGGGGAAGAATTTCACTTTCTTAGGAATTTTAGCCCTCCAAATCAACTTTGACCGATTAATGTCAATAGGAACCCTGCATACATCGTTCGAAAATGGAACATCATTGTTAAGGATCCAAAATTTGGAATCCTCTAAAGTTGACGACACATTGATTATGCCTAATCAAAATGTACTATAGAGGGTAATATTGGTTGTCCATCCTTTCGACCTTGGTCGTATTCTATCAAAGCGGTTAATCTTACCTGCTTTCTAACCTACAACAAATGTTTTTAAAACCTTTCTCTCAACCCCATTTTCTAAAATTCTTTTCTCGGAACGAGGGTAGTAGTTGAGAGGTAGGCAAATTATGCCACCACCGTTCCAAATTCAAGTTGGCCGATTTGCTCTAGGGAAAGAGCAAGTATTGCACAATCACTCTACACAATATGGACAGATTTTCCCCCCCTTGACGACTCCATAACTTACACAGTCAAATGAAATTGTTGCTCCACGAAGGATTTGACTCTCTTACTAGACTATCCTTTTGTAAGAACCTTTGGAAGTCCCCCATTCCTAGGAAATGCAAACTCTTATTCGATCTCTTGTTTGTGCTCATGGAAGAATAGTCTGGTTTAATGCTACGAGGGGATGTGAAACCTTATTGAAAGGAATTACACTTTTCTCACGAGTCTTGTTTTGTATGTCCTAAATTGCAATGTTAGGAGATAAAATTGATTTAGACATATACTTTCGATCAAAAGATCAGATTCGAATCTCCCAACCCCAAATATTAGACTCAAAAGACAAAAAGAAACCGAAAAGGTCCAATGCTAGAAGAACGGTTGTTAAATCAATTAGACCTTAGAAAAAAACAATCTAACAATGCCCGATTTACCCCCTGGAGAGAGGAGGAGGTAACAAAAAAAGCTTATGTTCATAGTTTAGTTCTTATTGTAGCTATTGTTTTAAAACAAAGTTTTAGAAACTGAAATAGTAAAAGCTTATAAATGAAAATGAAACATGTACATAAAGAGGATTTTCCTTTTCGATTTTATGAGTTGAGACCTTCATATTTTTTTTTTTTTGGTACAATCTACTGTACGAAGGAAATTATGGTTAGAGGTCTAATTGATTCTTAAAGAGTTGCGTGAAGGGTCGGGAAAGCTTCTAATACCATTAGTAGTGTATACCATATCCATCAATTATTTGACATATCATCAGATAGTACAGTCTTATTGGATTCCATGCTATTCCTAATTTCTTATTTTATGACGAACAATGAACGAAAGTAGCATAGAGAAATTGCCGTCGTGTCAAGCTGACTAAAAAGCACACTAAATTTTTGTACATCAACATTATATTCAAAAAGTTTTAAGAATGCATTCACATCTTTCTTTGCCCAACTTAGATCGAGTTGTGTTAATTTAAGCTAAGATGTTCTGATCCTTTGTTTAATAAGCTCAACCGTTCATATGTAAATTTGCCCAATTGAAATTGAGTTAAGTTAGTGTTGGTTATTTTACAATTCGTTTGACAATGACAGTTATTCAAATTACAAATCTATCCAACTATTGATCAAGTTCGTTCGAGCTCGTTCAAAATTTTGTGAGGATTAGATGGATCTTAGAACATTGAATTTTATTTTGTAGAAAAAATATATCATACCTACCCTAGCTAAATCTAAGTTGGATTGATACAAGTTTTTGAAAGTAATGAATTTCATTTTCATCCATTACTTTGCAAATGCTTTCAACAATACTATGGATGACTTTTTGAACGGCTACTAGTGGTAGTGGGTGAGTTTGCTTTGTGTGCCTCTTTATGTTATATTTGCTTTTTATTTTTATTATTTTTTTAATAAAAAAAATCAATTTATAAATATTGAGGTCATGAATGAATAGTAGCGGATATCTTTAATATGAGTGATTTTTTCATTCTTATCATCCTCTGTTATCAAGGAACTTCGAAATTAAGTGTGACACAATGATTTTTTTCCAGAAATAACGAGTAATGACAAAACATGTTAAAGAAAGACCACTTTGGACTTTACATTTTTTAAGTTCGGAAATTTATTAGACACATTCAAAATTTCACAGACTTGTTAGTTATTAATATTTTTTAGGTTTCTAAGACCGAACCGACACGATTGTAAATGTTCGTGCAATGTAACAGATTAAAAACATATACATTTCATTATATAATTGGCAAATTAGTTGTCTGTATGAGCATAGCTCGTTAAACTAAGTTTATATTTTCGACTAAAAGATTAGAGTTTTAAATCATTCCGCTCCACCTACTATTTATTTATTTATTTTAGATAGATATATAACTTAAATTATTTGATATTTATATAATAAAGACTCAAAACAATCCTTGGCTGTAATTGCATTACGATAGGGCAATACGACAAGACGAAAAAAAAAACCTAATAAAAATAGAATAAAACTAATAGGGTCATTTCAGGAATTTCACAAAAGAAACCAAAATTTGTACGGAACATCCAAGGAGGAACAAAACTAATAAATAAAATACCGTTAAATCCGTTGAAGGCAAAGCGTGGCGTATCAGAAGGCCCGATTCTTCGATGTTTTTTGTTTTGGCATTCAAAATCCCGGAAAGAAAATTCTCCCCCGAAAATTTCATTCTTTTTGCATAATTTTTTTTTAATAAAAAAAATCTCCATTTAATCGATTTTGTTATTCTCCATGTATCTTCCTTTTTTCCGATTGCCTCTCCGAATTTGCCAATTTTTTCCTCTATAAGTTGTTGTCCACAAAACCCACCCCTCTCTTTCGCTTTCTCCCACCAATTCAACGATACCCATCTCCTCTTTGTTCACTATTTCTTTTATTTGGGATATCCCCTTCCGATTTCGGTGAAGGTTTTTGGGTTCTTCATCCTGTTCTTCTTGTTTTTCTACGATTCTTGGCGATTCTGCATGTGGGTCGGTTTTCTCTGGGCTTCTTTGTCGCCCAAACTTGCAGAAACTGATCGAAGATAGTAAAATTTCACGGTTCTAAGCTGCTAGATTTGTGGGGTGGTTCGAACACTGGCTGCTTATAGAGTTCTTAATCTTCCAATACCATAATATTTTATTTTGTCGTTTGAGTTCCTTGGTTATTGTTTTTTTTATATCTATAAAAGAAACAAAAGATGTGTTGAGAGGTTTCTGGTTGTTTGTTTGTTTTTGTTTTTAGATTAGAATTATGGTTGTTTCGTTGAACTGGTAACGTATTGCTTGTCGTCTTCTTGTCATCTTCGTTAAGTTTTTTGAACTAATTTCTAGGTTTAGTTTTTATTGTCTTCCATGTGTTTGTAAAAATGTCCCCGTGTTTTTTTTGAATTCCTTTGTTTTCCTTTTTCCTCTTTACTTTCCATCTATCTGTCAAAGCTTTATTGAAACATGGATTTAACAAATGGGGGCGGGGCCGGCAAAGCTCCGATAGCGAATAATTCCGGTACCGAAGTAGCTGATATTGTTTCTGGTAAGTCTAGCAATCCCCAAGAGAATGATTTGGGATCAAAGTTGGGGATAGGAAGCAAAAGCAACAAGGATATGGTATTTCGTGCTGATAAGATTGATTTCAAGAGCTGGGATATTCAGCTGGATAGACACTTGAGCAGGGCATGGTCAAGGGACAGGGAAGTGCCTGCCAAAAAGGAAGAATGGGAGATTAACTTGTCTAAACTTGATATCAGATATGTTAAAGCTCATGGCACTTATGGTACTATTTACAGAGGAAACTATGATGGCAAAGATGCTGCAGGTAATTCGCACCTTGTTTTACAGTATTTTTCGCATGTGTTCTTGATTAGATATGGATCAGTTTTCAAATGATTAAGCCAGTCCATCTTTGTTTGAGTAATTTGATAATGATGCCTTTTTCCTTATTGAAGCTGACATAGCTAATTAAGTTTAATGTGATCAAAAGATGTTGAATGTGGTTCCTGTTGGTAGTCTTCCTATAAGAGAATTGCTCTGACAATTGAGTTGATAACGTTTTGGAAGTACTTTAGCTCCACGCATTAGATGATTACTGGACGACATAGTCGAGTTTTTGTTTGTATTTTCGCTTTTATGACGATGTTCTGAATATTGTAGTGAAAGTGCTTGATTGGGGGGAGGACGGTGTTTCCTCCGTTGCTGAAATTGCTGCTCTTAGAGCATCTTTTCGCCAGGAAGTTGCTGTATGGCATAAGCTTGACCATCCCAATGTTGCCAAGGTCAAGTATCTTTTACATGTAGTGTATGGTATTACAGTATCTCAAACAGATCAAACCATTCATTTTTACTGTGATTATTCTAATACGGAAGGCTTTGATTCTTTACATTTGGTACTTCCACTGTTCTTCATGTTCATATTCTCCTGCTGAAATGTCTAACTATTTTGTTTTCCTGTTCTACGGGGCTCTTCTGTTCATATGTGAAGATCAAATGATAAGAACTTTATGATACAGTTTTATGGAGCTTCAATGGGGACCTCCAACCTTAAAATCCCTCCCAAAAGCCCATCATTTGACAGTAACCAATCTTTTCCTTCAAGGGCTTGCTGCGTTGTTGTTGAGTATCTTCCAGGTGGAACGCTAAAGGGATTTTTAATCAAAAACAGGAAAAAGAAACTTGCATTTAAGGTTGTGATTCAACTTGCTTTGGATCTTTCTAGAGGGTAAGTAAACGTTAGATTCTACAAATCATTCCAATATGCTGAGGTTTGAGGCAGTTGCTTATTTTGATCTTGCAGTTTGAGTTATCTACACTCCAAAAAGATTGTACACCGTGATATTAAAACGGAGAACGTGCTGTTTGATGCTCAGAAGACTCTCAAAATTGTTGATTTTGGCGTTGCTCGAGTCGAAGCGCAGAATCCACGGGATATGACTGGAGAAACTGGCACGCTCGGTTACATGGCTCCCGAGGTTCCTTCATTATTTTCTCTAAGATCTTATGGTTGATGATAATTGGCTTTTCATTTCAATACAGTTCATTCAACAGATCCTTTTTCTACAGGTCCTTGATGGTAAGCCTTATAATCGAAAATGTGATGTCTACAGTTTTGGTATATGTTTGTGGGAAACATATTGCTGCGATATGCCTTACCCAGATCTCAGTTTTGCTGAAATTTCTTCTGCAGTTGTACGCCAGGTATGTTCATTTAATTAACTGCACAATTATTGACACTACAAATACGAAATGGTAGGCTTTAACTTCGAGAACATTCTTCTTAATCTACCGTCATTTTAAGCGTATTTTTTTCTTTTTTCGGGTGGGCGGAGACGAGATAGCGATAGCTCAGCCAGGTCCGAATTGGCCATTGACTTCTATAATCGATTGTTTTTCGTCAAGTTTGTGAAGTAGTCTCATGAACTATTTAGGGAACATTTGAACTTGCATTTGACAACTGATCGTAGAAATTGTGAAATCGCACATTGGTTAGAGGGAATAACGAAACAACCCTTATAAAGATGTGGAAACTTCCCCCTAGCAGATGCGTTTTAAAAACCGTGAGGCTGACGGTGATACGTAACAGACCAACGTAGACTATATCTGCTAGCGGTGGGCTTGAATTGTTACAAATGGTATCAAAGCCAGACACCAAGAGGTGTATCAGCTAGGATGTTAGGTCCCAAGGGTGGAGTAGAATGTGAGATCCCACCTCGGTTGAAGAGGGGAACGAAGCATTTCTTATAAGGGTATGGAAACCCTTACTCATTAGACGCATTTTAAAACTGTGAGGTTGACGGTGATACGTAGCGGCCCAAAGCAAATAATAATATCTAATAATGGTAGACTTAAGCTCTTACCGAATAGCGAGAGATATTAGTTTTTTTATTTTTATTTTTTGCTCTTCCTAGCTTTCCATCTATGAACTATTTCATCTATTCAATATATTTGATTGAATTAGCCATTTTTAAGTGGTTTGTTCAGATCATGTGTATCCATAGAAAAAGCAACTTTAGTCCAAAAACTTAATCCATGCTATAATGATGACAAAATTTGACTATGGATGTATTCTGAAATTGAATTCACGAGTAAAAATTACCTGCAACAGAATTTACGACCCGAAATCCCTAGATGTTGTCCGAGTTCATTTGCAAGTATCATGAAAAGATGTTGGGATGCAAATCCAGAAAGGCGACCCGACATGGACGAGGTCGTAAACTTGTTGGAAGCCATCGATACGAGCAAGGGAGGTGGCATGATTTCTGAAGATCAGGCTACTCGTTGTTTTTGTTTCGGCATACCTCGTGGTCCATAGATAAAGACGGTTCAGAGAAGTTGGTAAGCATAAAGAATCAACTATTATATAGAAGTACGTAGTAGTGCAAATTAGCCAAAGGTGTGCGTTCGTGAGCCGAACTCAAAGTTTCAATCAATTGTTGCCCACCTACTCAAAACTAAGAGGGGATGCCGCGGCTTCTACGAACTTCTTTTTTATGCCACAAGTACTCTTATTTAAGACGGATTGATTTCGGAACTATTTTTGATGGTTTAGACTTTGAATTTAAAATTTTAAAATACATATTTGTAGAAATAAAAAAAATACAAAGTCTAATAATACAGTATTTCTTTTTTAACATAAACATATTCATAAATTTAAATATATTATATCAAATACATTTTTGAATATCTTATATTAAATATAAATGAAAATTTTATATTAAATATCCAAATTGAAAAAAGCTACTAATTTTTTAAAATTATATTTATATATTGAAATTAGCAACTAATTTAATTTTATATTTAATCCTGTCAATTTTATTACATAAACATAAAATGTAACAAAAAATAATTTTAAAAAAATAATAAATTGTCTAATTATGCGAGGTAAAAAATATTTTTTTTATATATTATCCGATAATTTTGTGGGAAAAAAATGTCTTTGTAAATTTCTCGATTTATTTTCATATAAAATTAAATAAAAGGGATATTTTCATAAATTCATTTAGTAAAATAAATTTAAAAATAATAAAAAGAAAAATTATAAATTGATTAATAATAATAATAATATAAAAGGCTGAATGAAAAATTAGGAGGAACAGTATAAACGCCCTTCGAATTCCCTCTTCTCGAATCCTGATTGGCTCAAGAAAGCTTCGACGGCTGATAAACACATTCGTTCTCGAAATTTCCCATACCTGAATCATTGAATCTTTGAGTAGTGAATATCTTACAATGGCGGAGACTACTTCCGACAAATTGTCATCGGCGTTCATGGCAGAGTTTCTGAGAAATGCCGGTGGCACCGCCATTATTGATGGTGGTTTGGCCACGGAACTGGAACGACAAGGCGCCGACCTCAACGATCCTCTTTGGAGCGCTACATGTCTCCTCACTTCCCCTCACCTGATTCACAAAGTATATGTTCTTCCACTTTATCTTCAGCTTTTGGGTTTTTTGTTTGTTTTCGTAATTAGTATAATCAGAAACCGGATGATTGCTTTCCCAATTTGTTTAATCTCAAATTCTAGTGACCATCCATGTTGTTTTGAAGGATAATTATAATAATTTTTATTATAAAGTTGGATTGGCTTATCTGTTAGCCTCACTTAGGATTTTGCTTTTACTTAATTACAGATTCATCGTTCGTAATGCAGTTGGATGAAGCCTTTTTGTGCTGATATCTTACTTCTTTCATGCAATTAGCTCTACTTTGAAACGAATTAAATTCTGTTTTCAGTTTCGTGGATATTGAATTTAGAAAGTTGCATTCCCCCATTGGCTTTTGAATTTATCAATTATCAGCTCACTTTTAGGTCTGTTTGGGAGTGCTAAAAAGTACTTTTTCTTACCATAAAAGTTGTTAATCTTAGGAATTACAAACCTCTGCAATATTATGATATTGTCCACTTTGAGCATTAGCCTTCATGACTTTGCTTTTGGTTTCCCCTGAGGCCTATAGAGCCCACGAACAACCTCCCCTCAATTGAGACTCGACTCCTTTAGAGCCCTCGAACAAAGTACACCCTTTATTAGACACTTGAGTCACTTTTAACTACACCTTCGAGCTCACAACTTCTTTGTTCGATATTTGAGGATTCTATTGACATAACTAAGTTAATGGCGTGTCTTTGATACTATGTTAGAAATCACAGACCTCCACAATAGTATGATATTGTCAACTTTGAGCATTAGCTCTCAAAGGTTTGCTTTTGGTTTCCCTAAAATGCCTCATACCAATGGAGATTTATTAAACCCATGATCAACCCCTTAATTAGCCGATGTGGGACTCCTCTCCCAACAATCATCCACAGTTAATAACTTTGATGTTTGGTTCATATCTCTTTGGAATTTTATGCGTCATTATTGCTTTGATTCTTTTCAATTATTTCTTTGGTATTGTGTGGTGTAGGTACACATGGATTACCTTGAAGCAGGGGCAGATATTATCATCACGGCATCTTATCAAGTAATTCTCCCGACTGAATTTCTAATGATGTTTCTGTCATAAACAAGTCAAACCAAGTGTCATTTTATCTCCACAGGCCACCATCCAGGGATTTGAGTCCAAAGGACTTTCAAGAGATGAAAGTGAATCCTTGTTAAGAAAGAGTGTGGAGATCGCCTGTTCAGCACGAGATAATTATTATGATAGTTGTAATACAAGCATTCCTGATGAGACTCCAGATGGTAAAATTTTCAAAAAACGTCAGATACTTGTAGCAGCTTCAGTGGGGAGCTACGGAGCATATTTGGCTGATGGGTCTGAGTACAGGTGAGTTAATACTACTTCCAGGGGGGTTTTACATCCATATATGAAGTTTGATTTGGATGTTCCAACAGTAAATGCAACCTTTTATTTATCAGTTTCCTTTACCAACTATTACCAATGCTGAAATTTCTGTCCAGTTTCAACTCTGAAGTGATTCGATGTTCTTTTTGTTTCTGTGCCTTCTTAGTGGTAATTATGGTGACAGTATTACACTTGAGGCTCTGAAAGAATTCCATAGGAGAAGGGTAAAAGTGCTTGCAGAGTCAGGGGCTGACCTGATTGCATTTGAAACCATTCCCAATAAACTTGAAGCTAAGGTATTTAATCCTAATGCAATGAAATTAACGTGCATATCATTTTTTGGTCTTATAGTTGCCATATCTGTGACCAGCTCCTTTAATTGAAATTTTATAGTACAACCTGAAGTTTCCCTATGATTGCTTTTGGTTTTTTGGGCTCACTGGTTTCTGATAAAATGATCACCTTACCGGTGTTTCATCGTTGCATGCCGTATGAAGTGCTCATTGACAATTTTTTTGATCGTGTATGCTATGTGCACAGGCCTATGCAGAACTCTTGGAGGAAGAAAATATGAGTATTCCTGCATGGTTTGCTTTCAACTCGAAGGATGGTATCCATGTAGTTAGTGGTGATTCTTACTCTGAATGTGTGTCGATTGCAGAATCGTGCAGAAATATTGTGGCAGTGGGAATCAACTGTACACCGCCTAGGTTTATTCATGGTCTAATATCTTCCATTAAGAAGGTAAGATATCTCGTTTTTATTTTTATTTGTTTGTTGAAAAATCTCAATTAAAGGATGCACTTCTATCGAAGTACATTATATGAGTTTAATGTATTTCATTTGTCTGTCAACGTTTTTTTTAGAGAGTTGAATGTTAAGAGTCTTTTCAAGGTCAAATACTTTTTTATTGCCTCTTCTATTAATGAAATGAAACATTCTTTATAAGCGTGTGGAAATCTCTCCCTAGTAAATGCATTTTAAAAATCTTGAGGGGAAGCTCAGAAGGAAAGCCCAAAGAGGACAATATCTACTAGCAGTGGGCCTGGGTGGTTACAAATGGTATCAGAGCCAGACATTGGGTAGTATGCCAGCGAGGACGCTGAGTCCTGAAAGGGGGTGGACACCAGGTGGTGTGACGCCTTGAAGGGGGGATTAGGGAGTCCTACATCGATTGGAGAGAAGAACGAGTGCGAGTGAGGACGTTGTGTCTTGAAAGGAGTGGATTGTGAGATCACACATCGTTTTAAAATCTTAAAATCTTTGAGGGGAATCTCAAAAGGGAAAACCTAAAGAAAACAATATCTGCTAGTAGTGGGCTTGGGCTGTGACAATTAATATCCGTTATAAAATTAAAAGTCGAAAGAACAGAAAGAAAATTTTCTTTTTGTTCTGATTATTTGTTTATTGCGTTGATGTCTTTTCTTCCCTCTTTCTGAGTTTTTTGAATGGATACATCCTTAATTCCTTACCTTACAAGACGGTTATGGAGAACTAATTGTTTCTAATGAATCACTCTTTCAGGTCTCTACAAAGCCTATAGTGATATATCCAAATAGCGGTGAAAGTTATGATGCTGATCTAAAGGAATGGGTGGTAAGTCCATTTTATAACCATCTTTGATTCACTTCTTTTCAGACATTTCTTTGGTTTAAATGAATAGACTCCCAAATTTACAATTATCTCTAAAATGTATTATATATGTTGAAGTTCAATTGTGATAGTATTGCAGTTCGAAAGAGCTTTGATATTGCTAAGTTCATGAAATAAGACGAACCAGCTGTTTCACTTAGCCCTTAACTATGATATTTCTCAACGAACACACTTTTTTTGGTCTATTAAAATGTAAGCTTTTTGGTACGTGATGCAGCAAAATACTGGGGTCTCTGATGATGATTTTGTATCATATGTAAACAAATGGTGTGAGATCGGGGCATCGTTGGTCGGAGGTTGCTGCCGAACCACTCCAGATACAATCAGAGCTATTTACAGGACCCTTTCAAAGAGATAAGAAAACCATTCTCTGAAGTAACATCTCAGGGTAAGCTGATTCTCTGAGGATGTGTCTTGGACTCGTATATGGCAACCAACTTATCTTTCATCGAATTTGAGGGCAAGGCTTCGCTGATGAATGCAAGGATTGTATTTTCTGGAAGCACATTACTTACTACCGTTCTTAATTTTGACTCTTTTAACTTGTATTAATTTTTACCATACATCAACTTGCACCTCAAATTTAAATAACATTACAATCTTACTCCTCTTAAGCAATCATCTTCAACCATTAACATCCTGATTAGCCCCAACAGAATTTCATACGCAAATTCTTGGTGATAAACACCTTCTTTCCTCCATCATATACACTAACTGTTTGTTACTGAAGCTCTTTTATATATGACCCATGAAAACGTTAAACTTGATACAACTGAACAACCAGTAAAGATGGTACACAATCAATGAGCTATACCCCAGTTTCATATGTACCATAAAAGCAACGATAGTTACTTTTACGTATGGGGATTAAACCCGAATGAAATGAGGATTGTTGATATTTTGCAATGCGTCGGGCTGGGTTCCTGTCAGCTGCCTTTCCCGGGTAAATCATATATAGTCCACTGCAAATGTAATCTTGTAACAGAGCTTTGACATGCAATGCATTGTAAACAATTTAGTTGCAATGGAAGGTTAAGTATCAAAACCAGAGTAGATTCCACTCTCCCTCAACG